GTTCACGCCCAGGATCCGGTCTCCTTCCCGCAGACCCTGCCGCTGGGCGGAGGTGCCAGGCTCCACCCTGCACACCACGTGGCGGGCCCCGCCCAGCTCCTGCTGCAGGTGGAAGCCGAAGCTCCCGCCCTCCTCCTTGCTCAGCAGGCAGAAGCGGGGCCGCTCCGGGCAGAGCCAGACATCTGGGGGGCGGGGCAGCGGAGAGGGGGGAGGGATGTGGCCCAAGTGCTAGTCGCCTTGTGCCCAGCAGACGCTGCCCCCGGGAGGGCACAGGTGGACTTGTACCCAGCTGGGTGTTGGGCAGCGGGGCCGGGACAGAAGGACATGCCTGGCCTCCTCTGTCCCCGTGGTTACTCCCAACCGAGGCCAGTCCGAGGGAGTGGCCTCCAGGGGACGGGGGCCTGCGGGGCCGCGAGGTCTCCGGGGAAAGGAACGGCTGCCCAGGGGCCGGCGAGGGGGTTACCAGAGGGGCCACGGTCTTCCGCCAGGGACAGGACAGGATTATCAATGCCCAGCTTTGGGTTAAACTCAAACTTCCTGCAAGAAGACCCCGACGCCACTGGAGATGCTCCTGTCAGCTGAGGGGTCCCCCCAGCCCCTCCCGCCCTTGCCCAGCCCCTCCCAGGGCACCACTTACAGGGCGACGGGAGCCGCCTCCTGGAGACCTGCTGGGCGAAAGGGGCGAGGGGGAGAGGCGCATTCCTCACCCCTTCCGCGCTCACTAACTGAGAGGACTGAGGGGAACCCCAAACTCAGAACACGACCCTCCATTCTGCTCCAAAAGGGGCTTTCCTGTCCCTCCCTCCCCGCCCCTCCCCCAGGCCAGGGCACAGCCCTCCGAGCCTCCGGCACAGGGTGTGGCCCAGGAAGGTAGCCGCATCCAGGCCCTCTTCCCCCACCTCCAGGCTGCGTCCCGGGGCTCCAGGCCCCAACATCGTGTGCCCTGGTCCCTAGGCCTCAGCCTCCGGCCACCCCTGGCTGCTGAGGTCTCCTCCGGGGGCTCCTCCAGCTCCTACCTGCAGCTGCCTCCATAGCTGGATCAACAACCTGGCGCTCAGAGTGGGGACAAGGTCCATGGAGATCAGCTGACCGTCCCTCTGACCCCCCAGTCCCGCCTCCTTGAAGACGCTGCTCGGAAGCAGCGGGGTATGTTAGGGGGAGTCTTGTCCCTGGGGGAGCACGCACGCGCCTCTCGCACCTGTGCC